TTAGATATATCTCTCATATATAGTTTCGTCCGATTTAAGGTAAATGGTGTACCAAAGTCCCTATATGACCTTCGATTTGCCCGAAATTTGGCATACCGTACTGGATTAAATCTAGAATGACGTGTGCTAAGTTTCGTGAAAATCGATTCAGATTTAGATATAGCTCCCATATATATTTTCGACCGATTTTGGGTAAATGGTGCACTAAAGTCCCTGAAAATCATTCGATTTGCATGAATTTTGGTATAGTGTACTGAATTGAGTCTGGAGTGACGTGTGCTAAAAATCGGTTCAGATTTAGATATAGCTTTCATATATATGTTCGTCCGATTTTAATTAGGACCCAAAATATGGCCACTAGGAACAAAACCTGCTGAAATTAGTAAATTCTAACCTGTGACAAGTTTCGTTGAAATCGGAGAATATTTGGATATAGCTTCCATATCTATTTTTGATATTGATTTTGATATTTGCTTTAAATCGATTTAAATAATGTTGTCCCATTGTAACAAACGAATGGCATGTTTATGGATTGATTTAAGTCGGTTCACATTTAGATAAAGGTCATATATATTAGAGAATACAATTTCATGTTAATGGCCCTTCTGTTAGGATGCATTCGTTTAATATACCCATAGTGGTCGGCCCCATCCGACTTTACTACTTTCCTTACTGGTTTTCACATAATTTGCTACCAGAGAAATTTTGGTTGGTAATAAAGACAGAATATATGGGTCTATATTTTAGTCCATTTCTCGGTATTTTAAAGGTCTCAGACGAATTTTTCAAATGAAGTGGCTTTAATTTGTCAACAAAATGTTTACAAAATGTTATTTTTGTCAGATATAGCAGCCATATAACAATTTTACCAAATACAGTGTAGGATATTTTAAAATTTACCCAGTACCATTCGGTAATAAATAATATGGATTTATTGTTTCCTAAAGCACTTTATTTCATAATTTATCTTAATTTTTCACAGAGGCCCTCCAACGTTAGGCCCTCAAAAAATCCTTCCATCCCTTCAAACTGCTTCACTATCTAAATGTTTGTAATGGTTAAAGATATAGAACCAGGATATTGAAATGACAGTTAAAAAATTGTCTGCCACGCTTGCGTGTTTATTTCGGCGGCTAACAAGTACATACAGCAGCAACAACAAAAAAAATTGTCATAACGAAGATGCTTATTCGTGATAGTAGACATCGAACGTCCCACTTTTGTTTCTTGAGAAAAAAAACACCGCCCAACATTTATAGGTAATGCACGTAATACTCTCTGCATCCACATCACACACAATCATCGTCATCATCATCACCGTCGTCAGCCGCAACATCATCGGAGACATTCATGTTGCAAATCTGTGTAAGTGCAGTGTTTGCCATTACACATGCAAATAATGTGCAACTTCCAGAGGCAATATTTTTCTTTAAGTCAAAAAACGAAGAAGAAGAAGAACAAAAAAATCGGCAGAAGAACGTGAAGAAGAGTAGCAAGATGTAGAAGATGCAAAGCAGTAAAACGAGGTGCAAATTTCGTGTGCAAATAATGATGATGATTTGTTCGTGAAATCAGCCAAATATACACGTTTAGATATTCAAAGCACCCTCAGTCAGCCAAGAGCCAGCCTGGTAACCAACCACGACATTCGAACCATCACCGTCATTGATGCACACACACCAAGCTCAAAAAAGAAATGAAGAAAATTATAAGTGAAAAGTGGTTATACACGATAAAAATGATGTGGGTTTTAGTGCATGGCAAAAGGAAGTATACAGCAGCAGAACAAGAAAATTAATTTCTTGCCGTTTTTCATTTCAAGTTTATTAGAAGCTCTAACACAGCACGCTTACAACACCAGCAAAAAAAAGCGTGATGTTCAAACGGCATTGTGAGTGTTGTCACGGTAAAATCTGCTGACATTAGACATCATTTAACACTTTTGTGAATGGGGAACCTAACCAGAGAAGCAAAACGTAGAAAAAATATGATCACAAATGCAACTCTTAAGGTTTTTTTTTTTAATTTTGCTATTTTGTTACCTTTTTCAGGTGGGTAGTTGGCGTTTTGATATGAATGAAAATGTATTTAATATTTATATTTGATATTAAATTATGACATCTTAAGGGGAGGTGGATATTATTATATTTATATTCATATCCTACACCGTGGTGTGGTACCAGGGTACTATAGACACATAGATATATTTCCGAGTTGAATTTTAGCTGGTCCTTCCGTCTGCCTATGTATTTTCAGGCATGATTTCGTTTCAATGGTACACCGAAGACCACATGTTTTTCACATTGATATGCAATTAATGTACTGGATTAATTTCAGAATAATGTGCATTCTGTTTGTTTAAAATCGTTGCCGATTTAGTTATAACTCCAATATTTGATTTCTCTAATTCTTTGGTAGAAGGTGCACCGAAGTCCTCAATTGAAACGACATTTCAATAGAGTACTTAATAAAGTCTAAATTTATATGAATTTTTTATACTGGAGTAAGTCTAAAATGGTGTATTTAAAGTTTGTTAAAATCGGTTCAGAATATTTTCGACCGATTTCATGTAAATGTTGCACAAAACATCCCAGCGTTTGTCCGATTGACTAAAAATGTTGGGCATCCTATTAAATTGAGTGTAGAATGACGTATGTTGAGCTGTGTTCAAATCATTCCAGATTTAAGTATAGCTCCCTCTCGTACTCTTGTCGTTTCCATTCGTGTAAATTTTTTTATTACATCCTTTCATACCAAATCCCCACTAAAAATTATCAATATAGGTCCATTTTTTCTGGTAGTCTTCAAAATGTCGGTACTTTTAGGGTTTTGAGTGTGTTTTCAACCGAATTTGCTGTACTTTGACACTTTGTAATCTTCTTGAATACCAAATCTTCACACTAAAATTTACCAATAACAGTCCACTTTTTTGGGTAGACCCCATATAAAGGTACCTTCAAAATATGCGGATCTCGAGCATTTTGGATAAGTTTTTCAAACAAATTGGGTGTAATTTGGTATGTTGGGTTCTAATTGGGTACTAAAAACGATATATTTTTTTTTGGAGGGGTATCCCCTTTTAATGATAACACCAAAATTTTCGGTATTTGGTAGGTGTTTTCGACCGAATTCGTTGTAATTTAGTATTTTGTATTCGTGTTTGGTAACAAATCTCTCTACCAAAAATTTTTAATTTTAGCTCCCCTGTTGGGGGTAGTCCACATATAACCCCTTTTTATACCCTTCACCACACTGTGGTACAGGGTATTATGTCTTTGTGAATATGTTTGTAACAGGCAAAAGGAAACGAGATAGACACATGGTTCCTTCCTTTTGAGAATATGCATAGACACTTTCTAAGTCGATTTATGCCTGTCTCTTTGTCTGTCCATGTTAAATTGTAAACAAAGTACAGGTCGCATTTATGATCCGAATTAGATGAAATTTGGCATAGGTCGCTTATTCGGCCCAAGGACGAACCCTATTGAAATTGGGAAAAATCGGTTTAATGTAAACGGTCCCTATATATCTTTCGATTTGCCCGAAATTTGGTACAGCCTAATCATTTAGGTCTAGAATGATGTGTGTTAAGTTACCTGAATATCGGTTCAGATTTAGATATAGCTCCCATATATATATTCATCCGATTTAAGGTAAATGGTGTACCAAAGTCCCTTAATATCTTCCGATTTGCACGAAATTTGCCACAGCGTAATGAATTAGGTCTAGAATGATGTGTGTTAAGTTTCTTTAAAATCGGTCCAGATTTAGATATAGCTCCCATATATAGTTTCGTCCGATTTCATGTAAATGGTGCACCAAAGTCCCTATATATCTTTCGATTTTTATGAAATTTGGCATGACGTATTGAATTGAGCCTAGAGCGATGTCTGCCAAGTTTCGTGAAAATCGGTTCAGATATAGATATATATTTTTTTACCGTCCGATTTAATTTAAATAATGTGCCAAAGTTCGTATGTTGCATAACGTACTGAATTTAGTCCAGAATTTTGTGTGCCAAGTTTCAAAAATCGTTTAGATATAGCTGATATGAAGTAATTGACGCACCGCAACCATTCGCTAATTCATACACGATAAAACGAAAACTGATCCCGCTTTAGGTATAGCCTCATATAACACTAAATTCGACCTTTAAATTGCAGTATTTTGAGGTCTTTATACACATGTTCACTCTATCTGACGTAATTAATATCCTTGCTGGTGTATTTGTAGATTTTTCATACCATTTTTCATACAGTTTGCAGTGTAGGTCCATGTAGGGTATAATTTAGAGTCTTGTGCCCATGGAGGCATCACATACTACAACCGATAATTCTAACAATGAAACATACGAGCTATACGGATACATTTCATACAATTACTGTAAATGGCAATCCGATAACCCATAGGATTAAAAAAAAACTTTAAATCGGATTGTTTTAAAATAATTCCTTAAACATTTTTGGAATAATATTTTCTATTTAACAAGGTCCACTGTTGTCTGTTGTTATTTATTAATTGGTTTTCTATTAATCAATAATATTTATACTACGTCGATTTATTATTTTACATATATGTATATATAAATAATATTGTCTATATATGTATTGTTATTTTTATTATTATCAGTAGATATGTATTTTGTTTTTGACATACACTTGGTGACAGTTTTGACTTTTAATTTGTGACATGATTTATAAAATGCAAAACAACACATCCAACCACACATGCATACATATGTGTGTGCGTGTGTGGGTGGCTATGTTTATGTGTGTTTTTTTTACATTTCCCATGTACATAACAAATATTAACACTTAGGGGCAATTTTATGGTTTTTAATAATAATAATGATAATCATAATAGTATTAAACAACAACTACAACAACAAAAAGCAAACGAATTGCCATTTGTAATATAAATGCAAATATCCTTATACACATGTATGGTAATGGAAAATAATGCAATTATTATTATCATTATGAAGATGCGCTATATATTACCTGGAAGGTGAGTAGGGTGAATAGTGTGGTGCATGTGCTGAATGTGAATTACGCAATGGAAATGCGGGCATAACCAAGGGCTGTGAACCGCTCATCTGACAATGTGGTCCATTTGGTCCATTCATTGTGCCGCCAGGTATAACGCCACCGCCGCCAATGCTGCCACCACCGCCTCCGCCGCCGCCACCACCACGATCATGGCCACCATGACCGCCAATTGTATTATTACCCGTTGACATACTTTGTGGCATTTGTTGTTGATGTAATGTGCCAGGCATGGGACCCAATCTGTAAATAGAAGAAAAAAGGCAATTTTTTTAATTTAATATTTTTTTTGTTTGGTTCGTTGTTGTTATCATATTAAAATTTAATGGATGTGTTTGTGGTGGAGGGGGAAATAAAAAAATGCACATTCAAACAGTGTCGCGTCATATGCTTTTGAATTATGCACCATTATTGACAATGTAAATGTTATTTATTAAATCCCCTCTGTGATTTGGTGGATAAGGCTGAGGCGGGAAGAGAAAAGTCAGAAAAAGTCTAGTAGCCTTTCCACAATGTTGTCCTTTTGTGTTTATGTATATGTATGCATAGGGCAAAAAAATACATGCGTAAATGCACACGCAATGTTTTCAATACGTTTGTACACACATTTACATGTACATATATATAGGAATGTATGTATATGTTTGCGCACAATGCATGTGAACCATATCGCTGCGTATGAATGTGCAAATATTGTAAACGGAAATTTTAAATTAAAAAACATAAATCAATGCAGTAGTTACAAATGAAGAGCATTATAGGGGTTTTTTGCACATTTGTGGAAGAAATATGTTTCACATGACTGTTTTTAAACAAGAGCAAAAATTGGGTTGAAACGGTTAACATCATACGAAGGTACCCCTTATTTTTAATTTTGAAATATAATTTTAATTTAATTTGGTTATTTAATTGGTTATTTGATCGGGCGTAGTCTTTTGGGCGCCATTTTCATAAAATCGACGAAATTATATACGAAGCCTATATCTGAACCGTTTCAAGGAAAACATGGCAAACGTGATAATCTGTCATACTTTGGATCTTTCATAATCGAAAGAAAATATATATATATATATATATATGGAAGCTATATCTAGATACTAACGGAACTTAATACACACATTTCGCACAATCTTTGGGTCCATGATTCACAATTTACCTAAAATCATTGGAAAGTTTATATGTAGATATATTTCAATGTGAACCGATTTCTACAATACTTGACACATTAACGATTCATCTCGTATCGTTATGCAAAATTTCGTATCAATCGGACTAGTAGTCAAAGTTTGGTGCATCGGAACGACAATATATATGATAGCTGTATAACCGATTATAGACTGAATTTGGATGTCTAATTTCGTGTCATTCGGACAAACTTTGGGTATTTGGTGTACCATTTACATCAGATCGGATGAAAATATATGTGGGAGGAATATCTCAATCTGAATCATTTAAAACCAATTTCAATAGGGAGTTGTGTGAAGTTGCAATGAAATTGGACAATAAATCCGAATGATCCGCATTTTATTTACACGAATAGATGAACAAATAGAAGGACCTACATAAATCGCCTCAGAAAGTGTATTTATGTAGGACAGTGTTGTTTCCTGCCCTTGGAAACTCCAAACTGTATACCACTGTCGGACCTTAAGGTCATATATAGCATGGGACATATAATTATTATATAGGGTCTCAGAAGAATATGTTGTCTCAGAAGATATTTTTATTGTTACGCGCCACCTACTTCGGCAGTATGTGTGGCCGCTAGCTCAGGAGCCAATAATCAGGGCGGTTCCATCCCAGACACCAATAGTCCTAGGGGACGTACAATTAATTTTTTAACCTTCACATCAGAAGAATATGTTGTCTCAGATGATATTTTTATTGTTACGTGCCACCTACTCCCGCACTATGGTATATCTGTGGACGCTAGCTCAGGAGCCAATAATCAAGGCGGTTCCATCCCAGACACCAATAGTCCTAGGGGACAAACAATTAAATTTTTGTTTCAACAAACCTGAATAAAGGCCAATACTATACAACACAAACACCTGGTTCACCTGATACAAGAGAGATTGGTGGTTTTACTCCCACACTTGCATATCCTAACTTGACCCTTAGATCCTATTAACACATTTTTATTAGTTCAAAAAAATAGGGAATTATAAAATGTTTAATATTTAAAAAAATACCAAAAACTTTCCCATCACCCCACCTATACAAAACCATCCCTCCATACCTCTCGAAAAAACACCAACTCCAACCTACAGCAAAAACAAACAACTTTTTTTCCATTATTTACAGTTACCATAAAATGCAAGTATTATCGTCATTATTAAACGGATATGAGACTGTAGGCCCTTTTCGACTGGCTGCGCGAATGTTTTTCTAGGTGGCCAATATTGCAACAACAACAACTTCAACCAGTAAACAAACAGTTGAAATAAACAAAAAAGAACTCGTCAATTGTGGCGGTAGGAAAAAGCAAATGCCCAGATAAGTGTTTACTTTTATGTTATTTCCACATTCGGATCGGTTGGGTTCAGTTTTATTTTTTTTTACGGCCAAGCTGCCAATGTCATTGATGTTGGTCGTGAACGAATTTCCTGTGGGAAATTTATGAATAAATGAATGACAGTTATGTACAAAAAATGCCAGAATGCATACATAATGCCTGAATGCATACAGAGGCAAGGAGAAGAAGAAGAACAGAAAAAAACTCAACGTAATGTTACACAGAAAATTGTTAATAAAAATTGAATTTATTAATAATATATTATGTATACAATATGGCCTTTGGAGTAGGATGAGAGTAAGGTAAAAGGAGGAGGTTGAGGATACGTAGAAAAAGGTAGTAAATATGGAAACCCTGAGAGAAAAATTGGGAAAGATAGATAGTAGTTTACAAAAAGCCCTAAAAGTATGCAGTAGAATATTGTATGAATTAAATAAATGAAATATTAATTTGCCTAAAAATATGCAACAAAAATTTTAAATTGAAAAAAATGAAGTAAAAAATAACTATAACTATAATACTATTGTCTTCACTTTGCCCTAAAAATAGACAATAAAATAATTTATCTAAATTTTTAGAAAATGTATTAAATATTATATTTTTAAATTTAAAAAATGAGTTAAAATTTGAATTTCCAATTATTTTTTTATAATTCAAATATTATTTTTACTTTGGCCTAAAAATATGCAATAGAACATATTATTTCAATTTTTAAAATGGGTTTTTTAGGTCGGTTACAGAGAATATCACATTTTTTTTAATATGCGATTTCAAACCTACAGCTTTGCTAAGAATTCCCCCTCCGATCCCGTCTTCCTAGAATTATGCTTTTAATATTTCATTTTTTTGCTGTTTCTTTCTTCTCCCCGTAAATCTTATCAGCACAACATTAAAGTTTGCCACCAAACTTTATATTCTCCACATCTAGTATATTGGCAGAATGTATATACATACATATGTTTGTATGTCTGCATATATTTTTATGAATATGAACATGCCATTTCTATACACAACACTCCGTCTATATTCACATTTATGTTTAAATGGAACTATAAAACCACGGAAACATTTATAACTTCCCTTTATGGTTGGTTGGTTAGTATGTGGTCCCAAAACTCCTGCTGACCAAAACGAGCGGTCATATCCTTTAAGTGCCACATTTATTCACATGTTTTGCCACGTTAAACATTGATATACACATATGTACATAAATAGACTGTCATTCTGTATGGCTATGCTATGTATATAGCTGGACGCGTACACGTGCAGGGCATTTGATCATAGTCTAGAAAATGCTTTAGGCAAATTCATTTATGCTCTTATATTCAGTATTGGTCACATGTTATGACGCTATATAGATATACTACTATTATAGGCATTGCTTTGACATTAGGTTGGTAAAAAGGTAAATGGATTTTTTTCGTATTTTTTAATAAAATATAAATGACTTCAAATGGCCAAATCATAATTGAACAAATGTCTATTCGTTAAAAAAATTCTCACTTTAAACTACAAAAAAAATTTTATTGCATAGTTTTGGGATATCAAACTGATATATATGTATTGCATACTTTTTTTTATTGTGCTACAACATTTTTTTTTAATTTAAAGGAAATATTTATGAACATATATATTTGTTGCATAGTTTTCTGTATATAACAATTTAACAACAAAATCTTGCCTATATATATGTTATGTTATAATAAAATTTTGTAATACTAATTCTTTACGTATTGCATACTTTTAGGATATTTGTTATAATTAAGCCAGTTCCAACCTAATATCACGATATTTCCAATGTTTAGAAAATTTTCATGTTTAATGTCCCTTAGCGATGAAATTGTATGCATGCTAGACGCATAAGAGCGAGAGAGAGAGAGTGAGAGATAAACCGACAAAAGAGAAAAATAGAGTAAGAGCAAAGTTTATGGTTGAACAACTTAATTTAAATTGCTTTAATCTATTTTTGTTGCCAATAAATCACCAAAGCAGACATTTGCACACAACACAACACTCTATTGAGCGTGTATGGTCTATTTGTATGTATGTATGTATGTAAATGTACGATTTTGCATATAATAGCCATAATAGCTACTGACTTCCCACTTAACTTCAACAAATTTCCACAAACACACATACACACACACTCACTACATTGTTGTCTAAAGTTCAGTAGTTATGAGCTGGCAAAAGTTTTATAAACTATGTTAGGGCTATTTCGCATAGGGCGCCCTCAGTTCCTTTTTGGCTGCAAAGCCAGCTAGGGATGTAAATAGTTAATAGATCTATAGATACGCTTTGTGCATTCACACATTTTTACATACATACATACTACTATATAAAAGATTGCAATCTATGTACATATGAATGTGGACACTATAGAATATCGTATAAGTATATTTAAATATATGGTGTGGAAGTCTAGTCGTTTAAATTATGGCATAAGCAAATATTATTGCCCATTTATCGCATGGATATAGTATATTTAAACTATAAGTATTTCAAACTCCACAGCACTATCTGTGTGTGAGCTCCTTCTGCATATTTCCACCAACATTGTATTAATAAATGAGTCTGGCTTACACAAAAATGCCATGAAGCAACTAAAACTAAAATAGAAATGTAAAAATTATTTGTAAGGAAATAGCTTTCGAAATAGCGTTCTTTGCAAACTTTCAGTAAGCCTAAGCCTATGGGTTTTTGGTTTTGTGGTAAAGTAAATAGTTCGCT